CCAGCCTCACCTTGCCTTCTTTGGACCATTTTTCACTACAATTCAAATTCGCCATCACACCCCTTGCGGCTCAATTCACAGACCAAATCAAGGACCTTTCTGTGTCAAGCTTTTTCTTTTTCTCCAAAATAGGGTGCACAATGGGTCATGGATGTTGTACATATCATACTTAATGTCTCGAGCCTCATGAACATAGGGGAAACCAAATATTGGGTGCATGTGACCCTGACTAGTGCTGTGGGTGCAAATCCTTGATATGCATAGACCTAATGCCATGGTGGGGTTTGTTTGATCTTAATATAAGTCCGATATATCATTCTCACTTCTCTTAGTCATTTGGTTTTTGCTTTCCATATCTACGTTAGTAGATGCACCAACAAAGTCTAGTCACCTAAACAAATTAATCATGTGACAACAATTGCTTGCTATGATGGACATGGCAATAAATATGTATTGGCTTATTATCGATCACATCCATCCAAAATGGTTAATTAACATGGTTTACCCTTATATCAAAAGTGATAATCAAATATTAATTCATAATTATAGAACATAATTTTTGTTAATCAAATAATATTTTAATATTATAGAAATCAATCCTAAAAACATATCATGTCGGACCTTCCATCTCTGATAAACTCTATAACTACTTAACTTAGAGATTTGGTTTTCTAATTAACCTTTACATGACTTATATAGTCAAATATTCTAAATTTTGTTTCGTGTATTAAAAATAAATAAATACATATAATGATTAACTATGAACACAAATAGTTACTGATTTTAATCTAGTTAATAGCTTCTTCGATCATCCACGCACACAATTATTGATTTCACTAAATTTGTCAGTTGGGTGGGTTTCTTAGATGGGGAACCAGAGAACTGAGTGACCCAAACATTTTTCTGTTGGTTTCAAACAATTCTACGTGGAGCGAGTTTCATAGCCCTAATTGCATGCCCCCATTGACCCCAATTTTAGCTTTATACATAAGTGAGATAGATGATGGGGGCGTGTTTAATTCATTTTTCATCATGGCCAGACCAGTTTGTAACGACATGGTTAAACACGTCCTCCTACCTTGTCCTATTTAGATATGGAAAAGTCCAGAATGATGCTTACAAATATGTCTACAAAAATTGCTAATAATAAATTAATGCGGTGACTTCAAATCTCCACTAAAAAACTGCTCACATTTAATACACAATTGTGTCTCTAATATGATAGAAAACAACAAACAAAAGAAGAAGAAAAATCTCCGCATAAACAACTAAAATTTTGTTTTTAATAAACTAATTATTTATTCATTAAGAGTTTAAAATTAACTAAAACTAGTTTATATCACAATATTCTACATTAAATTTCCACTTAACATCTTTTCTTATATATGCTTCAAAAAACTTTTTGACACATCTTATGTTAATATATTATTACTGTAAATAAATTGAAATATTTTATTAATTAAACATTAAATGAAATTAAATAATTATTTGTTCATATTTTCTTTTCATTAGAACGTGTTAGAATGAGATTGATAGACAATAAATAAGTTAATAAAAATATTAACTATTTCATTTATTTTTTAATAATGGTTTTTCAATCTAACTAGAAGTGATTTGTCAAGATTTTTCTAAAAAATTTGTTATTGACAAAATCAATAAATACTTTACACTAATAACATAATTATAAAAATATTAATATCAATAAAAAAGTTCAAACCTCATTATCATTATTATATATAATAATAAAATAAACTATATATGAATAATGTGTGTGTATATTGTCTACTATAAGAAAAAAGTTCAAATATCATTATAATCATTTTTATGTGAGAATGAAAATTTTCAATCTCACACATGTTAAATCCAAATAAATAACTTAGATTAGAAGATTACAAATAAAGTTATCACGTATAATTATTACATTGTTTTTTTTTATTATTATTATTATTATAACAATTATTATTATTATTATTATTATTATTATTATTATTAAAACTATTGTCACTACCACTGTTGTCATGACCATTGCCATTTTCGCTACAGCCACCATTACCAATATTGTTGTTGTTATTGACATTGTTGCTGACAATTTTAACCGTAACAGTGATGGTAATGGTAATAACAATGGTGGTGATAACGACGATGATGATGATAACAATGAAAATAATAATTCTAATAGTGATAGTGATAACGACAATGATATGCATGATATAAATAATATTATGGTAACGTTACATGATAACTTTATTTGTAGTCTTTTAATTTATGTCATTTAAAAAATAATGTACTTTTAATAACTATTTTTATGAACAAATAATATATAAATATTAAAAATAACATAAATAAAATAATTAATAATAATTTAAAGTTCAAAACACTACTTCTCGTTAAACCAACCTCTAGTATGGACAAACCTTCTCTGTGTCCCTACTCAAATTGAAATTTTTGGCCCACTCCATTCCCCACACAACCTCTCCCCCTTCAACCATACAACATTACTCCACTCAATCCGACTGACAGTGAAACAAGTGGTGCATCTATGTCATCTTTTCAACGATGTCCAACCTCACCCATATTTTTATGTTTAATTACAGTTTTTGTCATCTAAGTTTCAAAATTTTATAAATCTTGTCATTTAACATTTGAAATCATACGTTTTTTTTTAATCTAATTTTAAATTTTTTTTGCACATTTTTCACTCAATTAATTGAATGTTTGTTGTTATTAGTTAACATGACATATTTATTATTATTGTGACACTTTTGACTACTAATATATCACGTTGACTTTTGATTTGACACATTATATCATGTCAATAATTAATGTATTATGTCAATAATTAATGTGTCGCATCAACAATCAATTAACAACATTAAATAATTGAGTAACGAGGTGATAAAATATGCAAAATGTTGAAATTGAGTGAAAATTTATACAATTTTAAAACTTAAATGGTAAAATTTCATAAATATTGTCATTTAACATTTGAAATCATACATTTTTTTTACCTAATTTTAAATTTTTTGCATATTTTTTTACTCAATTAATTGAATGTTTGTTGTTATTAGTTAACATGACATATTTATTATTATTGTGACACTTTTGACTACTAATATATCACGTTGACTTTTGATTTGACACATCATATCATGTCAACAATTAATATGTTATGTCAACAATTAATGTGTCATATCAACGATCAATTAACAACATTAAATAATTGAGTAATGTGGTTATAAAATATGCAAAATGTTGAAATTGAGTGGAAAAATATACAATTTTAAAACTTAAATGGTAAAATTCGTAAAATTATAAAACATGAACGACCAAAAGTAAAATTAAGTCTATTTTTTTAGAATTTATATTTTTCAACTTGCACCACCCATGACCAATGCTAATATTTTTTTTAGAAAAAAATATTTATAGTGTTTGTTTGGCTAACATTAATTAATAATTAAAAAAATTAATGAAGAGAATGATAAAGAGCATATGGTTGGCATCTATGTAGTTATAAAATATACATGCCAAATATACAACACGACTTAGTCATAACTTAGCACATTAGATTTTGGTTAAAAACATTTTTTAAAGTCATTAGTTGAAATAATTTTGGAACTTAATACAAGGACTTTGATTTGGTAAACTGATGAACCAATTATTAAATTGGGATCTTAAAATTTGTAAAGACAAAGAATTATTTAGAATGTTCTTAAAAAATTCAAAAATATTAACTGATAAAAATCATATGTAGATAATCTTAGAAGAGTAAAGGAGTAAGATAGGTAAAATTTAATCTCTACAACTTCTCTTACTGCCTTCTTTTCGAATTTACACTTGCTTTATATTACTAGTTTACTTATTCAATTTTTAAATGTCAAACAATATGTTATATTCATCTGGAAATTTTTCTTTCACAAGTTTTAATTAGGACATTAAAAATTATAAAATACCTTCTAAGCCCCTGTAAAATCAACAACCTGTACTCTAAAAATACACTATAGTAGACTTGGTGCACTTGTAACAAAAATCTTAACAGTGATGACAAAAGTTGCAAAGGGTGGTTTAGTGAAGGTTTTCAACATGGAAAGGAGGGGGGAGAGGACCGTCGTTGATGAGGACAAACCTTTTCTTTAACCAAACTCATATTAGAATTGTTGCTCCACTCTATTCCTCACACAACCTTTCTCCCTTTAACCCATACAACATTACATCACTCAATCCAACTAAGAGTGAAATAGGTGGTGCGCCTACGTCATCTTTCAACGGTGCCCAACCTCACCAATTTTTTTTAGATTTAATTGCACTTTTTATCATCTAAGTTTCAAAATTTCATAAATCTAGTCATTTTACATTTGAAATCATACACTTTGCTATCTAACTTTAAATTTTTTTGCATATTTTTTAACCTAAATAATTGATTGTTTATTATTATTAGTTGACCACTAATGTGATAAATTTATTGTTATTGTGACATATTAATTATTAACATATTATATTACTTTTGACAACATATTATATCATGTCAACAATTAACATGTTATATCAGTAGTTAATGTGTACATCAACGGTCAATTAACGAGTAAACAATTGACTAATAGGTAATATAATATGCAAAATGTTAAAAATTGAGTGAAAAAATATACAATTTTAAATTTAAACGATAAAATTCACGAAATTATAAAACATAAGTGATAAAAATTGTAATTAAATATAATATTTTTAGTATTTATATTTTTCAACTTGCAACAACCATGAACAATGCTAATAACTTTTTATAGATAAAAATGTTATTAGTGTTTATTTGGCTAAAACTAATTAATAATTAATAATTAAAAAAAATGAATAAAATGAATAAAGAGAATACGGGTGGCATCTATTTAGTTATAAAATATAGGTGTCAAACATAGAGAGCAACCTAGCCGCAGCTTAGCACACCAGAAACCAGATTTTGAGAACTCGATCAACGGCTACCAAATCTAATTTATGGAGCGATCAAAGGAAAAGCGAGAGTAATGATGGAATCAGCCAGTCAAGTTGGTTGCCACGTCACCCCATGGCATGCCACACTGTCATTGGCTTTCGCGACTCTCACTCACTCTCCACTCAACTACCTTTATAAACCCCTCTTCCCCTCTCTCATTCCAATTCCAATTCCATTTCTCAATCTTCAATCCTCTTTTCTATTTCCATTCCCAAACATGCACAATTCACAAAACAAACAAAGGGACCACCACAACATGTTACTTACCCCTTCCTTCTCTTCCACCCTCCTCGACCAAATTTACCGTTCCATCGACACAAAAACCGCCGAAACTAACTTCTACACACACACAACAATCAGACACACCAGAGCCAACTCCAAATCCACTCCAACCGACACTAAATCTTTCACCGCAAAATCCGACAGGAAATCGCGCCCTGCTGACGTGGACATCCTCGACCAAGACGCTCTCTTCTTCAGCTCCACCTCCATCTCCTCGGATTCCAGCTTCGGATTCTCCTCCGACACCGAGTCCCTCTCACGCGCCTCGTGTTTCGCCCCCAGGCCCAGGCCCAGGCCCAGGCCCAAGCCCAGGCCCGTCTCCGCCTCCGCCTCCACATCCTTCAGGTCCGACAAACACGGAATGCGCGTGTTCGACGCTTTCTGTCGGAACTCCCACACTTCCGAAGAACAACAACAACAACAACAGCGACACAACGAGGAAGCGCTCATGATAAAGTCAAAATCCAGAGCGTTGAAGATTTACAACAACCTCAAGAAAGTGAAACAACCCATTTCTCCAGGTGGCAGAGTCACGAGCTTCCTCAACTCGCTCTTCGCCAACGCCAAAAAAACCACCCCCCGCACGTGCCGCGCCGAAGTCGGCGCTTCTTCTTCTTCTTCTGCCTCCGCCTCTTCTTACTATTCCGGCACGTGTGATTCCTCGTCGCGGTCTTGCCTGAGCAAGACCCTAACTTCCGAAAGGGAGGCGCTGCGCGACGGCGTGAAGCGAACGGTGCGTTTTTACCCCGTGAGTGTGATCGTGGGCGAGGATAGTCGACCCTGTGGGCACAAACGCTTGGGGGAAGAAAAACAACCTTCTACAGACTTCTTACGCTACACCCACAAGAAGAGGAATAATGATTTGGTTTTCAAGGACTTGTCTTTCAGTGTCCATGATGATGATGTTGATGACGACGACGACGACGACGATGACGATGACGATGATGCTTCGAGTTACGCCAGTTCGGATCTCTTCGAGCTCGATCATTTGGCTGTGTTTGGAAGTGCAAGGTATTGCGAGGAGCTTCCGGTGTACGAAACGACTCATGTTAGTACTAACAACGCCATTGCTAATGCCCTCATAGTGTAATAACTCTCTTCAACAAAAAAATATATAAATCATTTTTGAGGTTTTTTCGATGGTAAATAAAATGACTTCAATCAGATTTTATTTTATTTTATTGTTTGTGTTCATGTATCCTAGAGATTAGTTTCCAACTCTGAGTCAATAGTTAGAGGTGTTGGAGTTCGAGACTAATCTTTAAAGATATCCGGATTTATTCAGAGTGTAGTAACTTTTTTGTGTGTGAATACAAGACCATGTTTGGTTCAGGTAAAAAAGTAATACCTAGATTGGTTTTAGGTTTTTAGCTCGACATGATTGTGGCTGTGGATTGGGAAAGGTTAACGTGCACAAAATTAATAGCCTTTGAATTGGTAACAGACATTATGGAGGTTGGGAGTACTGTTGTATAAAACAAAATCAATTTAAAGTGTGTAAGTTTAGCTGTTCCACTTTTTAATTATGCTTAATTTTATGGCGTGGGAGCAGAACTGATCTAAAATGAAGCCTGAAGCACATAGATCCTCTGTTATGTAAAATAATAATATTTTGTTTTTCCTTGTACGTATGTTGGTACATGTGTATAGTGTGTGTATCATGTATTTAAGTGCCGCAAAATGGGGGAAGAAAATAATGATGGAAAGAAGAGTTTTGTGAAAGCGAATAGGGTGGTTGGTTTTGCCAAAAGAAAGAGGTGGGGATTCGTAAATTCTTGATCACGATCCAGCATTCGGATTGGATAATACTGACAATAGAGTTTGATGAAGAAAAGAAAGGAAAGGAAAAGAAAAGAAGAGGGAAAACGAGAGATTCGAGATGGTAATCACAAGCAAGCAAAGCCTAGAGAGAGGTGTGTGAATGTGATGGTAAAGGCAAAGGCAGATCTTCGTCCATGGGAATAGAGAAAGTGATCTAAGACTAAAGCTTTTGCTTTCTCTGCTTCTTATCCCTCTCACCAATTTCAACATTTTACTTCATACTTTCTACTAATTAAATTTAATTAATCACCTTAATTTTTGCATTTTTTTTAATCTATTCATTCATTGACTCAGATACTAATTCGTTTTTAGTATTGTAACTACAACTTACATATAGACATTATTTTTATGTCATTGGGTAAGATACTAATTTATGTATAGAATGGTAACCATAAGATATTTTGTTGAGTACATTGTGCTCGAGATTTAGCTATAATACATTCGAGAGTAATTACTTAAAGAGTTTCCTTTTTGGAAGAGGAAATTAAATTAACTTCGGCATTATTAATATTGAAAAAGCGAATTTGGGCAGTATATGCTAGCTGTTAATGTAACGTTGAGAATAAAGGTATAATGATGATGACGATGAGTGAAGGAGGAAAGGTTGCAGTTAGTTTTGTAGTCTGTTTTGGGCACTAGTTTGTTGTACATGACTGTAAATTGGCAGAAAATTGCAAGTCAGTGGCGATGGGTAAAGTAGGCAATTATTATGGTGGGTGTTAAGAACATGATTAATCACCGTCGAACAAGACAAGATTGTGTGGTCACAGGCTAACATATGCCACCAATTTCAGTGTGCCCAATACTGCTAAAATTAATATATATACATATATATACATATATATATATATATATTACTAAATATTATAATATTCAATAACTTTATATTAAATATAAATTTTGTAAATTTAACTGTTAAATTAAAAATTCATATTACTTTATATATTTATATTAAATTTTGTTAAAATTAAATAATAATTTAAAAATAATGAATGTGTTCATATTTTAATATATTTTGAAATAAATATATTACGTTAATTTTATTTTATAAAAATGAAATATCAAATCATCTTAGATTAATATAAAATTTTATATATATGATAAGAATAAAGAATATTTAATCTAACAATTAGATTTACAAAATTCACATTTAATATAAAGTTATTTATACTGGTGTTATTATTATAACTCTCTCTCTCTCTCTCTCTCTATATATATATATATATATATATATATATATGTATATATATATGAGATCCATTTATTCTAGAAGTAAGTCTACCTAAACTTACTCTTTTTAATAATTTATGTTTTATATCAAATTTCAACGATCCAACCATTGAATTTAAATTTTTTGATGTATAGATTAAATCTATAAATTTTTTAAAAATTTAAAAATTATTTAATACTTCATTTCAAATTGACAGATCCCTCCAAATATATATTACGAATATTTATTTCATTTCTTGTATTTTTTTTAATGATATCACTTACTATATGTCTAACATTATTTTATTATTTTCTATTTGTGAATGTCAATTAGTATTTAAGTGTCGATCTATCTTTATTTTCGTTATAGTAAGTGACCACACTATTATATTTTTATTCTTTTGCAACATTTTTTTTACTTATATTTGTTAAAATATTATTATATATTGAATAAATAGGTTATTTTGTAATATTTTTTTTAAATGTTATTATAAATATAATATTTTTTATTTCAATATTATTCTTTTCAATTGTTTTCAAATTAAAGTCTCATATCAAGTAAATAAAAAATGTCACATAAATTATCTTGTAACTTTTTTTTTTTGAAAAATATTACTATAGATAAGTAACATTTTTTTATTTCAATATTATTATTTTCGATTATTTTTAAAATCAAAGTCTTTTATCAAATAAAAAATATTATATAAAGAATACATTTTTCTCATCTCTAATTATTTTTCATAATTAAACCTCACATGAGTCACATCAAGTAAATGAACCTTTAAGAAATATATAGTCATATGTTTATACGATAAATCAGCTTTTAATATTTGATATATTTGATATGTATTTAGTATTTTAAAAAATTCTATAACACCAATCTGTTTTTTCTTATTTTAATATTTGCAAAGTTGAGTGAATCATTCAAAAATACCAAACTATTCATTATACAACGTAATTATACATAAAAAAGACCATTTTTATAAATTAAAATTAAATTTATCTTTGAAGATTAAGTTAATATAGTTTAATCTAAAAGAAATCATGTTACAGTTATAAAGTGTGTTTGGGTGTTTAATATATATAAAATAAAAATCAGATTATATTTACTTTACAAAACGAGTGACTCATAACATGTGCATATATATGCAATTCTTTTTTGAAAAACAAGCATTGAATCTAATAACTGTTTATACTTTTAATCCTATAAAAGAAAATCAAAAGTATGGATTTCAAAGAAAAATATACCTTTTTATTTTCACCTAGTTTTTAAAATAATTTTTTAACTTTTAATAAATAAAATATTACGGTGTCACAAAAAGTAAATAAATATTATGGTTACATAATTATAGTATTTAATATAATATAATTTCTAACTCAGCCCATATACATTACTGAATTAATCCATGAATTTTAATCATGACTTACTGATATGTATAACCTAGTCCTACTCATAACTCATGAAAAAGATCTCTTAACAGAAATTAATTCCAAATTTTTTGAAGTCAACACTATTGGCTATTGTTGAACGAATTAAATTTGATTGACAATAGTTTCACATCACTGTTATATTAGTTTGACTTTTTTGTCACGAATTCGGAAATGTGCGTCCCCATAAATATTCATTTCGTAACATATATCTGATCCATATTAATTGTGGTCATCCCCACTACTCTCAAGATATTAATATAATCATATTCACGTTATTAATTTTAAAGTTATAATTTCATATCCAAGCAAAAATCATCTTAGTCAATAGTACTATTAATTATGTATCTTATGTAAAATGATCCTGTTGTCTATGATGTGCATGGACCTTGTGTGGCAAATATTTGTAGTCAGAAATTGTGTAGTTAGTGGCGTGCGACCATGAGAATGATCCTGTTGGTTGGTTTCACTGTTAGTAGACACAATGACCTACTAACATGAAGAATACGATATAATATTTAAATCTCACTACGTGATGGGCATGCATAAGCATGAGGTTGTCATCGAAATGGAGGAATGGTGGGAGACCCACTTAATTGAAAATAATCGCTTTATTATATAGTCAGAGTCGTATTAACATGACCATATCATAAACTAATATAATTGTTATTTTTTATTATTTATTAGATGTGGTGCATGTAATTTATTCAACAAATGTGGGTGGCTAGGGAACTGCACATGTAATTTAAAGTGCACTAGTTTATATATGATTTATCCAAAAAGAATGCTGTATAAGCATATGTACAAGCTTTAAAAATTGTGAAGCACATGTGATCAAAATTGGTTGGGATTAGGGACATAATTAGCTATAATCTTCGTCTGTTAGAGATTCTGTACTTTGGGTGAGGTGGTGAAACATAGTGCAATGATGAGAGGAATATCAAGGTTTAAATATGATTATTTTTAATTATGTAAATATAGCATATTTTGTTTTAAATTTTTATATTCAAAAATGTTTTTTAATCCATATAATACTTATCATTGTTTGTTTTAGTCTCTGTCATAACAGTAGGATCATTTTACATAAGATGCACAAGTCCATGCACATCATAGACAAAAAAACCGCTATTCACCATAAAAAAAACCGCTATATTTTGAAAATTTAAAGAAAAGGCAAAGAATATTATATTTACGGGACTAAAAATAAAAATCGCTAGATCTGTATTTTGTAGGAACATGAAACCAATTTTTTTTATATCCGCATAGATATAAAACTAGTTAACAAGTTTATAGTGGGAACAAAATAGGAGATAACACACAATTACAAACTGTGGGTTACCATTCTCTAAATCAATGATGTACGAGGCTATAAAGAATTTTTCTATCAAATTTTACATATTGTAATTGACTACTAATTTTAGAAACTAAATTATAAAATATGAAAAAAATGAAGAACTTAATTATATAATTACTTTTAATTTAAAAATATAATTAATTTTCTTTTAAAAAATTCAAAGAGCAAATGATATATTAAACCTTATTCTTATCCTCACTCAAGAAATTCTATCTAAATATTATATTTACACACAATTCTTACATATTATATATATATATATATATATATATATATAGTAAATCTCTCTTTCATTATGTTGACATATTACATGTGTAGAGATGTAAAAAATTTAGATTGTGTTGGGTTTGGATAATTCTTATACTTAATTAAATTTAATCAAGTTAAAACGAATTGGGTTTGTAAACTATTTTTAAAACAATCTAACCCAATCCAATTATAATTGGGCTAGATTAAATCAAGTCATGTAATTGAAGAATTAAAAAATAAGTATATTTTAAAAAATTGAAACAAATAAAAAAGAAAAACAGAAAGATATACTTAACTCAAAGTACAAACAACATTATAATAATTATAAATCATAAATTATAAATATTTTAAACAAGCAAATATTATGTCTCTAAGATAACAAATTTTGATTTACATAATAAGTATAACTAAATTATTCTTTTTGTTTCAAGTCTTCATCAATTGTAATCCTTTCTTTTATGTACATTAACTCAAAACAAAACTCAATATATAAGTTCATTTAAAGTGTATTATGTGTTTTATTATTGCATGTAGTATTTTTAATTAAATTTGATAATTTATTATAAGTTAGATTTGTTCGGATTGATTGAATAACAATTTTTTTTTAATTTATTATCCAATCCAATTATAATCCATTAACAAAAAAATTATCCAACTTAACTCAACTTATAAAAAATGTAATTTAATTATAATTTAAATTGATCAAGTTCATGGACGGATTATTACTCACTTACAGTACTCCTATATAAAAATAACATAATACATTTTCAGTTATAATTAACTTCATATACGAGTTGTGAATAGAACTTTAATTTTTAAGTTAAAACAGTTGAATCACTTGTATTAATAAGTTTTGATTATCCTATATGATATATTCGTTAGTTTTTTGGTAGACATATAATAGTTTATTTGGCAACAAAACTGACAGGACCAAAAATTATACTTTATACAATGAATGCTGAAAATCCATCTTCATGTCGGCATGAACTGAATTCCGATCTCATATATATCCACCATAAGAATACTTAATCAGGTTGTTCTTTTAAGGAAAATGTAGTGGTTGTTTTATTTGACACACATAACACGATCATAAAAAGAAATAATAGGGGGAAATTAAATGAATGGATTAAACTGATAAAGCAATGAAGGGAAGGGGGAAAGTGTTAGATAAAATGGTGTTATGTATATTTTAGGGTGGTAGCTAGTTGTAAGTAAGCATGTGGTCAAGAGTGTGCAACAAAAAGAGGAAGAAAAGCTGTGTGGAAGATAAACAGTGGGGTCTCTAACGCTATCGCTATGGCTACCTTGTTGTGGTCCACACCCCAATTGGCCCTCTTTAATTTGCTTTGTTACG